CCTTTTATTTTCTTTATTTTATTTTTCGGAGACAGAGTCTCACTCTATCCCCCAGGTTGGAGTGCAGTGGTGAGATCTTGGCTCACTGCAACCTCCACTTCCCACGTTCAAAGGATTCTCATGCCTCAGCCTCCTGAGTAGCTGGGATTATAAGCATTCACCACCACTGCTGGCTAATTTTTTGTATTTTTAGTAGAGACAGGGTTTTCCCATATTGGCCAGGCTGGCCTCGAACTCCTGACCTCAGGTGATCCGCCCACCTCAGCTTCCCAAAGTGCTGGGATCACAGGCAGGAGCCACTGCACCTGGCTAATGGAGGATACCTTTCTATTTGTTTTTCTTCTGCTGGGAGGATGATCATTTTGTTTCTGATTTCTTACACAAATCCTGGGAGTCACAGGTCAAGAGGAAAATCATAGATTAGGAACAAAGAGGAGGACACCAACGGGCAAGAGCATATGAAGCTTATAAACAATAGGATGAGAGCTTTTCCAACTGTCCATCTCGCCTCTGCCCTTTGAGGTTGGAAGTTGGCATGTGTGCTCTGGCTGTGGGTAAAAGCTGCTGTATTTTCCTCACTGGCCTAGGTGCCATAAATGCGTCCTCTAGGTTTTCTCATTAAAGATGAATTTGGGTAGATTAGAGATGGGGAAAAAAAAACCCAGCGGAAGGTAAAAGGTTTTCATCACTTAATAATACCAATTTTATCATCACTTAGCATAACTTCTTTCTGCCAATTTTATCATCACTTACAATAACTTGCATTAGGGTAATAAGGCATTAAGTATATGTTGATTGCAAATAATCTGGTTACATTCACTAATTATATGGAGACTGATTTTTTTTCCTGTTTGAAATATAATTTTAAAACATCTCTACTTCCTAAAAACAGGACATATCAAAGTAAGGAGACACATATGCTGTGGAGACAGAAAATGAAATTCTTGTGTATTTGGCAAGTGCCTGATTACAAGATGAAAATAGATGGAGAATTCATCTGCAGAAATAAAGAATGTAAATGGCTTGCTGCAGCTGATTTGCTCTCACCTTCTCTCCCTTGGGGTCAAATTAATATGTTTACTACTGATAAGGCATTTTATAGCAGAGGTATTGGTGCTCAAATGCCATCTCACAGAGTAGGGGGCTGCCCTGAACACATGCTCTTTAGAGAGATTAAGTATAAATTGCCAGGCTAGGAATTTTATGAGTCTTCCATAGCTGTGAAGTGCTGGTTTAAGTAAGGAATAGAGAGGCTTTGGATGCATTCGATTGTCATTTAGAGCTGCTATAAAATTTCGTAAGCCTATCCATTCTAACCCAGCTTTCAGATGGCTATCATCTCTCAGTGGTAATAATGACACTGCCAGTATGATGAGCAAGTTCCTACTTGAAGACAGACACGTATGGACCAAATTCAAACTATTGTTTCCAACTTGATAAAATGCCCCTTGACTGTTTTCAAGTTTATATGATTATAAATGCCCTTAGCATCCAAACCAGAGCTAGATTTTCAGATTTCGGTATTTCTGGAATTGGAAATAGTTTTCTATCAGCCAGCCACAGACATTTTCCAATCTCTTTTTCAGTAAACTGTTCAGATTTTTTTGTTCTGGCTTAGAAGGAATAAAAAATGACTCAGATTTCAATTAAAAACATAATAATAGTGATAGTTTGCATGGTGTCACGTTTTCAGCTATTTAAAAACAATTACGTGTTATTTTTGCTCTCTTTAAAAGATCCCAAGCATAAGGAGAATTTGTGTGATTTACTGTACGTTACAGATTAAATAGGTATTTGCTCCATTTTACAGACAAGGAACTGAGGCTTAGAGAGACCGGTTGCTCAAGGTCGCACATTAAGTAAGTGTCAGCATGAAGACTGGGAGGCTCCACATGTCCTGCTCTGCAGCTTTCAACCATAGAAGGTGAAATATGGATAATAGGAAATGCAAACCACTCCATTTACTGTTAACTAACCCACAATGCACTTTCACCACAATCTTCCTGAGCATGGCTCGTACAGAAGGATGTGACCTTTAATGTGCGATCTGGCCAGACTGGTCCGATGTGAGGGCCTGCCAAGCTCATGGGCTGGTGTCTTTATGTTTTGCACACTTACCATCAGATTGATGTGAAGGGGTGTCTGAAACAGCCAAAACTGGGTTGGCTCTATGTTTGGAGAGTGGGGCACATGTGAAGTGGCTGGAGGGACACCAGCTATGCCATCCGCACTGCCAAGGGCCTTCAGGGCCATCTGTTCACTGACTGCATCTAAAGGCATCTCTCAAGTCACTCAGTCACTGTGGTTTCCTTCCTGAAAGTAATGAAAGATGGGAATAAGTTTTGTGTCCCTGTAGGTTTCCAAAGAGCAAATAAGAAACTTAGCACAGGCTGGGGCGCCATCACTCACGCCTGTAATTGCAGCACTTTGGGAGGCTGAGAGGAGAGGATTACCAGAGGCCAGGATTCTAGACCAGCCTGGGCAACATAGTGAGACACCATGTCTATAAAAAACTTAAAAATTAGGCAGGCATAGTGGCTGCATGCCAGTAGCCCTAGCTACTGGGGGGGCTGAGGCAGGAGGAGTGCTTGAGCCAGGGAGGTCAAGGCTGCAGTGAGCCATGACTGTGCCACTGCATTCCAGCCTGAGTGACAGAATGAGACCCTGTCTCAAAAACAAAAAATCAGAACTATCGTAATTCAAATTTGAACATGCTCTAAGATAGAATAAGTATGTCCCTTTTGATTGCAGATTGTTACCTGAGGGTATATTAATTCCCAATGACATTGCTACTACACTTGATGTCTCACCTTGGGAGAAAAAAAGGTCAAGAGGTTTAAGTCAAAAAAAAGTCGTAGTCCAAGGAGGAGAGTTTTACTTTATTTCAGTCTCTCCCATCTGTATGTGCCATCCATGACTAGAATACACATTACAAGTTCCTGGGTGATTCCAGGGCCAAGGGAAGCGAGGTTTATATATTGCCGAGAAGAATGCTCCAACCTGAATTTAAGATTTGTCTTGCTGTCACATTCTACCTCTTTGTACTAAAAATTGCATTTCTAAAACTGTAAAAGGGAATTGCTTGGCCTCCCTAAATGTAAAATCACCAAGGTGAGATTATTTTTTTGCGTTACAATGCCCCCCTGACCCCATGAGATTTACTGAGTAAGATGTCTTGTCAGGGGGCGGGGTTCAGATACACAGACACAAGGCCTGCAATCGCAGCGCGGACAATCCTTATATTAACAAGAAACAGCATTTCGAATTATTCCAAATGCTGCTAAAATTAAGCCCAACTGTTCAATTTTCCACGTGTTCCTTTTAATTAGAAATGAAATGAAAGAGAAAAAGAAACCATGGAAATTACATAAATAAAAACAGATGGAATGGAGTATTGGAAGCTCTCTTCTATAATACATTCCCTTTAATAACATTCATTGGTTAATTTGGTTGATAAAAGCAGCATTAAAATTAAATAAGAATTAACATACACTCAGATAAATATTTGTCGCTTCTTTCATGTGCTACTATGATAAAGGTAATTTAGCTTAAAAGCAGTCATCATCTTTCTTCATAACTGATAAAGCATTACTAATTGTGTGTGTTAATATGGTACAATATGGAATTGAATAGAGATTTTATCTTCATAACGTCTCCATTAAATTAAAGACAGTGCTGTATGACAGGAAAGATAAGTCTGTTTATTCCAAGCCAGTACATCAAAAGAACAACTGTGGGAGATGCTGCAGTAACTAACATTTTCTAGCGTTTTCTAGCTGGCAGTATCACATTTATAGTCACTGTTGTAAGCAACACTGTTTTGTGGGTTAATCTAGATAATGTTTCATTGAGAAAAGTGATATTTTAATTATGGTGTAAAAGATACTGATCTTTTCCTTTCTGTGTCTAATAGGATCTTTCTACAAATAAGATGCTGAGTGGAAAATGATCTGACTCTGTTGCAATAAAATAACCATCCTTTGAGGCAATTTCACCACCCCTGAGCCTCTGTGAGCAGGACATGAGGGGCCAGGAGTTGCCAAGAAGAGAATGGACCACAGTGTCAGTGCCTTCCTCCTTCTGTCCCTCCTGGGGCTGTCGTGTGCAGGACAGCCTTCCTGCTCCATGGCAGTGCACTCAGCTATGTCTCTGCAGGCTGGCGGGCCACGATTCCTCCTGTGCATTAGCCAGCAGAGGACCCGGGGCTGAGAGGAGGAAACTGGACCCTTACAGAAGAAAGGGAGTTAGAGTCCGAAGCACAGCTCCCTTCACCACCTGAGCCTGGGCAGCTTAGTTCTGATGAATGAATGCATTATTGCCTTGGCACTGTCTCTCCTGAAGGACCAGGAGATGTTTGGAATGCCAGTGGTTGTATCTGTTAATATGTTTGTATTTTAAAAGCACATGCCACAAACTGCCTATTTGGAGACTGTGGATTTGCTGTGATCGTGAGACGCTGTGCCTTGATATGCTGACATTCTCCCATGCCATCTCTCTGCCTATGGGAGCAAATGTCCGCCAGTTCTACACACACATATAGGGCCTCGGAATCTCTTTACTGCCACTCCGGCCACACTCGCTGCACATGTGTCTGATAAGAAGCAACATTATTGTGAATAGCCAGAATCAATGTTAAGTACTGGATAAGAATGAAAGTAGTTTGGAAAGAATTATAACCACCTCCCCTACCCCCAAAAATATGCTGTTCAAAAAGTCAGTCTGGAGACACGGGTAACAACCCTATTTTTATACTATCCCAACTGAATTCTTAATACATGGCAAAAAGGAAAATCACAGCTTAACATAAAGCAGGAGATGTAATAAATAATGAACTGCACTAACAGCTTAGCATCATAAGGAGACAGATGGAAAACTTCTCTCCCGAGATCGCTGTTTCCAGAATTAGAGAAAGGGCTTCTGGACGTGTTCAGGGTGGATAGTTCAAGCCTGAATTTCAATGAGATGGGAACACTTTTTAGTATAAACGCAAGATTTTCATGTCTTCCTTTTAGGAAATACAGAGATTATGGCGTTCATCTGTTTCATCCAGGACTTGAAAAGCAAAACTCTGAACCTCAGACTCTTCCAGCATGTTTGATTCAGTCAAACAAGGGAAGATGCTTCGGGTGCTTTGAATGCTATGGAAGTGCTATGATGCCATCGTCTGTCCAGGAAAAGAAAGGAACACCCATCCATGTGGTAAAGCTATCAGAAACTGGAGCACTGGGAATAAAGGAATTATTTCCACGAGACAAGCACGCCCGCCATTGGCTCATAATGAGCTGGAAGACCAATGACTGCTTCTCAGAGACTCCCAAGGGCCCAATGTCCTGGCAGCAGATCTGCAGCTGAGTCAGTATGGTGCACAGCAGAAAGGTGGGGGAGGGTGGCCAGTGCCTCCCTGCCAGGCTCTGTCTGTGTCATCTGGAGCAGCACGGACCCTTCAGTCTCCATTCTCTCTTCAGGAAAGAGGCCTCCTCATAGATGGACACACCAAGGCTCAGGTAATCTTGGGAAGCTTATTTACTCACATGGTCCTGGCCTATCAGGTTCTCTGGAGGCCCTTCTTCCTTGGCTGTCATCTATCTTTAAATTGATATGTAATAGTTGTACATATTTATGGAGTACATGTAATATTTTGATACATGCATACAATACATAATAATTAAGTCAGGGTAATTGGGATATCTGAGACCTCAAACATGTATCATTTCTTTGTGTTGGGAACATTCCAAATCTTCTCTTCTGGCTATTTTGAAATACGCAATATACCATTGTTAATTATAGTCACCCTACTGTGCTATCGAACCCTAGAACATATTTCTTCTATCTAACTGTATGTATTCATTAACCAGCCTCTTCAATCCCTTCTCCCCTCTACCTTTCCCAGCCCCTGATAACTGTCTACTCTACCTCCATGAGGTCAACTTTTCCTAACTTGCACATATGAGTGATAACATGCTATATTTGTCTTTCTGTGCCTGGCTTATTTCAGTTAACATAATTACCTCCAGTTCCATCCACATTGCTGCAAACCACAGGATTTCATTCTTTTTTATGGCTGAATACTACTCCATTGTGTATACATACCACATTTCCTTTTTTCAAACAACCATTGATGGACATGGGTTGATTCCATATCTTGGCTGTTGTGAACAGTGCTATAATGGACGTGGAAGTGCAGGCATCTCTTCAACATACTGATTGCCTTTCATTTGGATATCTACCCAGCCGAGGGATTACTGAATCATATAATATTCCCCTTTTAAGTTTTTGAGGAACCTCTTTACTGTTATCCACAGTGGGTGCACATACGTTCATTCTATCAACAGAGCACAAACATTCCCCCTTCTTCATATCTTCATCGGCATCTGTTATTTTTTTGTCTTTTGATAGTAGCCATTTTAACCGAGGTGAGATGATATCTCATTGTGGTTTTGATTTGCATTTCCCTAATGATTAGTGATGTTGAACATTTTTTCATATGCCTGTCAGCCATTTGTATGTCTTCTTTTGAGGAATGCCTTTTCAAGTCATTTGCTTTTTTTTTTTTGTTTTTGAGACAGAGTTTTTGTTGCCCAGGCTGGAGTGCAATGCCGCAATCTTGGCTCACTGCAACCTCCACCTCCCAGGTTCAAGCGATTTTTCCGCCTCAGTCTCCCAAGTAGCTGGGACTACAGGTACATGCCACCATGCCTGGCTAATTTTTGTATTTTTTGTAGAGACAGGGTGTCACCATACTGGCCAGGCTGGTCTCGATTTCTTGACCTTGTGATCCACTCGCCTCGGCCTCCCAAAGTGCTGGGATTACAGGCATGAGCCACCGTGCCTAGCTCATTTGCCAATTTTAAAACCTGATTCTTCTTCTTTTTTTTTTTTTTTTGAGACGGAACTTTGCTCTTGTTACCCAGGCTGGAGTGCAATGGTGCAATCTTGGCTCACTGCAACCTCCGTCTCCTGGGTTCAAGCAATTCTCCTGCCTCAGCCTCCCGAGTGGGACTATAGGCACACGCCACCATGCCCAGCTAATTTTTGTATTTTTAGTAGAGATGGGGTTTCACCATGTTGACCAGGATGGTCTTGATCTCATGACCTCATGATCCGCCTGCCTCGGCCTCCCAAAGTGGCATTATAGGCATGAGCCACTGTGCCTGGCCTATTATTATTGTTGTTTCAGTTTCTTACACATTCTGGTGATTAACCCTTTATAGGATGGGTAGTTTGCAAATGTTTTCTCCCATTCCGTGAGTTGTTGCTTCTCTCTCGACTGCTTCCTTTGCTGTGAAGATTTGTAGCTTGCTATTATCCCATTTGTCTATTTTTGCTTTTGTTGCCTATGCTTTTGAGATCTTACTCAAAAAAATCTATGCCCAGACCAAGTCTTCAAGAGCAAAATTTGCATAATATCTGATTAGGGTCTGGGGACCATTCAGACCAAGTCCCCTGGGGCACCCGAACCAATAGGTGATCTAAACCTCCACCACAATTATGAGCCAACACATCAAGCAGCCCATTTCTTCCAAAACCCAGCTGACTCTTTACAGAAATTGTGCATTTAAATGTGATGAAGTCACTTGCTTCCTTCTCTTGTGGACACTGCAAATAATGGGGTGCTCCAGTTTCACTAAAATGCCTCAGACAAACTTTCCAACCCACAACCCTTAAACACAAATTAATAATAGTAGGATGGACAATCAAGTGCAAGCTCAAGCTCAAAATGCCAAAACACAGGACATCAGCCGTAAGATTAATTTACCTCTTACTTGCAAGAAAGGGAAGGAAATGATAAAATCAAAGGCACATGTTTCCAAAACCAAAAGAAACAATACACAGAAAATGTTAGCCAATGAGATGATGATTGTGTCAGTTACCCCCAAGGTCAGGCTCGGGGAGGGTGTGGCTGGGAAGACACCAAAAAATCAGAAGTTGTGGATTCCTCAGTCTACTCCTTCCAACACAGTGGAATATGGACTGGTCTGAGAATGTGAGGGGCATTCAGGACACTAGGTTGTCATGTGATCAGGACAGAGCCTTTCTTTTTAAAAAACTTGTTACTTAGAAAAATTTCAAACTTACAGAGAAACTAAGTAATTACTCCTATATATCCTTTATGTAGATTCACAAAATGTTCACATTTTGCCACATAAGCTCTATCTCGCTCTCTCTGTGAACATAGATAGTTTTATGTTATTTTATTTATTTTCTGCTGATCCTTTTCAGAGTTGTCGGTGTGATGATTCCCTACATACTTCAGGATGCATCCTCTGTAAGTGAGGACCTTCTGTTACAGAACACATTCACTCTCATTTTCCGTTACTGCATTAAAGATGACCACAAACCTAGCAGCTCAAGACAACATTTATGATCCCATAGTTTCCGTGGGATTATCTCATAGTCTGGGTTTGGCTTAGCTGGATTCTTTGTACAGGGTTGCACAAGGGTGGGTCCGGGTTACGGCCTCATCTGAGGCTTACCTGGGGAGGAATCTGCCTGTCTTGGCAGAGTTCAGTCCTTTCAGCTGTAGGACTGAGAGCTTTAGCTCTTTGTGGGTTCTCTGCTGGAGGCTGCTGTCAGCTCCTAGAGGTTACTCTCAGGGACTCCCATCACAGGCCACCCATAGCATGGAAGCCTGACTCCTCAAAACCAGCAACAGAGTAAGAGATTCCAGCAGGAAGGGGTTACAGTCTTACATAACAATTATGTAATGATGTACACGTAACTGCAGACCTCTAGTCACTTTGCCGTACTCTATTAATTAGAAGACAGTCACAGGTCTTTCCCACTCTCAAGGGAAGGGTGTCACACAAGTCAAGAACACCAGGTGGGCTAGGCGTGGTGGCCCATGCCTGTAATCTCAGCACTTTGGAAGGCCAAAGTGGGTGGAACACTTGAGGTGAGGAATCTGAGACCAGCCTGGCCAACATGGTGAAACCCCATCTCTACAAAAATTAGCTGTGATGGTGGTGGGTGCTTATAATCCCAGCTACTTGGGAGGCTGAGTCAGGGAGATTACTTGAGCCCTGGAGGTGGAGTTTGCAGTGAGTCAAGATCATGCCTCTGCACTCGAGGCTGAGCAATGCAACAAGACTCCAGCTCAAAAAAGAACACAAGGCGGTGGGATCATGAAGACCACCTTAAGTGTCTGTCTGTCAACATTATACAGTGACCAAACTCATTATCCTTCTTAATGTATCAGCACCTGATGTCAGCTTGTCCCGTTATTGGTGATATTAACTCTGATTATTTGGTGAAGGTATCTCATCTGTTAAATTTACCAGTTTTCCTTTTGTAATTAGTGTCATAGTCTTCATCAAAATTTCACCCCACCATTTTAGCAAAATTGCTGATTCTTTGCCTGAATTAATTATTACCATTATGGTTGCAAAATGCTGATAAAAAAACTCCATCATTCTTTTTTTAACTCCATTGTTCAACATATATTAGTTGGCAATTGACTGTAAGAAAGAGCTTTCCCACCACTGTATATCCGAGGGTGTTTTCCTGTTTACTAGGTCGTCAGACTGGGCTGCAAGATAGAACATAACATGCATATGGCTGACATCAAAAGGTAAGTATCACCCAGGGAAGACACCAGACATGATTTGAGGTCTCTGAGAACAGACAGCAGGCACACCTGGCTCGAATGGCCCAGCTATGACTTGCAGCCAGGGGAGAGTCAGCGTGTACCCAAGATCTAGCCCCTTGCATTGCACTGGCCCCCATGGCCGGTGGGTCCACTCCACAGGGGATGTAGGCAGTGTGACCACACACATCTCTCTTCATGGAACCCCAGACTCTCCCCACCTAAGATCTGAAATACAAAAAACTGGGGATGTGTCTGATGGCCATCAGCCTACACACTAAAGCAGAACACAGGCGCCCACATAGAATTTGTAACAGGAAACGACATCTCTGCCCAGGTGATAAGCCTAGAAAGAGGCTACACAGGCTCTTTATCTTCCTGTAAGGAAATGTTCCAGGCCCAAGGCCCATCTTCCACAGCTGAGCGGGATGCACAGACCACACGTGACTGCTTTTCCAGTAGTGGCTATGTATTTATGCAGGCATAGACTTGAGGAATTTTATTATTTTCATGACTTAAAATATATTACAATCATGACTTGTTTAATCAAATTATCCCATATTTGGTCAGCAGGAGCCCTTTCAAGCTGGCATCTGTCTCCTGAGTCCTTTGAACATGTCCCCAGCATTTTCTGAGAACTTCCTTCCTTTCTGGCATTACAAGATGCTCCGGGTCAATCTTGTTCTTTCCTGCCCCAGTCCTGGAATCAGCCATTTCTCCAAGCAGCCCTGGTTTCTTTTATGGGAAATGGCATTTAGAGACCAAGATCGCTGTGCACAAGAGAGTTGCAAACAAAGATGTGGGTGATAGGATTGGGAGAAGCCACTGCAGAGACATTGGATGCCAGCTGCACTGCAGGTTCTTGAGGCTGAGAGTTAACTGTCAGCAGAGTTTCTTTTGAATGTCCCCAAGTGTTTAGAACCACACTAAACCCTTAATGGGTCCTCTTTAAATGCCTGGTCGATTGATTCGTTTATTCATTGACTGTATTTATTGCTTGATAATAGAGCCAAAGTTAGTTTATTAGATGTATTTCCATGGACTATTGCAATAGGTGCAATAAAGTGCATGAGCAGCTTGGAGGTCATCCAGGCCACACCTCCATTTGGCTAATGAGGCCTCTTGGACCTCATCAGGGAAAATGTCATCTCCAGGTCACACACTTGGCTAACAACAGAGCCAGGTCTGGACGCCAGCCCGCCTGGCTCGCTCCGGCACCGCTCATCAGTACAGCCTATAACGAGATGCCAAAAAGAATCCTCTCCTTTTAACAGCAGAAAAGGTTTTCTAAAGCCTCATGGTGACTTGTCTACTGTGGCTTAGCACGGGAGCCATGCATTTCTGACCTAGCCCACCACAGCCAGTGTTCCTAGCCCGAGGCTCATGGGCCATAACTAAAAGTCAAACTGGAGGTTGCCACTAGGCAGGCCTTCACTTAGAAGAGTCAGCCTCAACCGTGGGCTCTCTGGAGTTCTGAGCCCAATCAATCCACCAGGCTTTCTTCACTGCTGACCATCTGCAGGCCACTAAGTTCTAGAGGCTGCAGTGATTCTGGGAGTGGCAAGGTCCCCATTTCTGCCCTGAGGTTCTCTGTGTCTATTTCACTGTGAGAGTAAGCAATGTTACTCCTCATTCATTCAAAATAAATAAAATGTTCAAAAAAGCTAGCATCGCAAGCGTAGCTGTGGTTCACTGAGGCCTTAATCCATGCCCGAGCCCTTGCATACTTCTCTGGTCAGCGCAAGGAAGCTATAATTATCTCCTCATTTTTCAGATGAAAAACCAGGGCCAAAAGAGACACAGTCTAGTCTAAAGTCAGGGTGAGGGCGTGGAAGTGTGAGCCCGCAGCTGAACCCTGATCCCTGGACTCTGAGCAGGTACCTCCCCTCTGCAAGGATGAAAGAACATTTAAGGCCAACAGGCTGAGGGGAGGTGGCTGGCCACTGATTCGTCTCTCCCCACTACTGGGGTTGGCCTGTGTTCCCAGGATTGCGGTGGCCCCTGGCTCTTCCCCTACCCCATCCCATCCCTGGGCTTCTCTCTCTCCCTCTCTGCCAGCCCCAGGCAGACTCCTCACAGCCCCTGGCTCCCTTCTGCCAGCAGCAGCTTCTGCACTGGTTTTCTGCCTCCCTAAAGGGACTTAGTACAGCTCTCAGTTTTTAAATCCCAGAAAATGTTCTGGCAGGTCCAGCCCATAAACATCCTTCGTTTGGCTGGAGCCACAACCAGAGATTTCCCCTTGCAGTCCTTGGCACTTTGCCTGGGGGCCACTGTGCAAGGGTGGGCCTTGGTGGCAGAGGTTTTCCTGGCCCCCTTGCTGGGAAACACTTATGGATGGAGACAAACAGTTGATCAGGACTCAGACAAGTTTAACTTCCACTGAGGGACCAGCATTCAAATAAAAACATTTGAGTGATTCTGATAAGGCTGATACTGGGGTTCCCAGTAGCCCTGAAGGGATTATAGAGTTAGACCTGGACTCCAGTGCCAGTCCTACCCGGTACTGACCGTGGGACCTCGGGCACATTAGCTAACCCTGCGAGGGGCAAACGCTGTGACCCCCTATCAGCAGCTGATCTATCCTAAAGCTGATGAAGCTCAAGGGTTTTGTTTTTGTAAGTCTGAATCCTTTGTTTGTGAGGGCACCTCAGATGGCATGAGCTGTGAAGACTTGGGGTTATTTCCACCCATTGTTGAGGGCTATTTACCTGTTTTAAGGGATAATCATGTTTTTCTCTCTAAGGAGTAAGTAAAATGGTGAATTTGATAGCTTTGTGACCACAGAACCCAAGGAGTAGACCCAGAATTCTCTGGAAGGGAAACGTCACTGTCACATCATAACCCTCCAGGCCTTGCTCCAAACTCCTCCCCTTCTCCCACCAGTCTGGGTCTCCTGCAGCCATGCAGGTGAAAGTGCCTGGAAATAGCCAAGTGCTGTTCAGATGTCAGAGTAAATAAGTGCTGTTTTCAGGTTGTATTTCTCTAGCGCAGCAGATCCCCACCTGGCTACGTGCTGGAATAAGCAGGAGACTTCCAGAAACACAAACGCCTAGGCTGTACCCCAGAGAGATTCCATTAGAGTCACTGAGAGCAGGATGTGGGTCTCGACACCTTGTTTAGGTTGCTCAGAGGATGCCACTATGCAGCTGAGGTTGAGAGCCGCTGCTCTAGAGAGCCGTCCTGGGCCTTCCACATCATGTGCTTCTGCAATGTTAATTCTGTAGTATTAATCTTCGCTGCTCATTTGGTGCTTAGCATTGTCTCCTTGTCTTGTCATTTGTTATTTCTTCTTCACAGAATAGGTGGTGAGGACCCTGCCATTGCCCCAGCTGTGGGTATTTGTTTAATTCCACCTAAAACTGCTAACAGGAGAATTTATCTGACTGTTTACCATGCACTCAGGCATGCCCAGTCCCGCTGGATAGGTGCTTCGGCTCCTCATACGTGCTAGGAGCCTTCATCTCATCCAAGCCCCATAAGAAACCTGCAAAGGAAAGAGTTTAGTGGCTTTATTTTACAGGTGAGGGAGGTGAGGCTCAGAGAGCTCGAGTAGCTTCCACAGGCCACAGGGCTACCCAGTGTGGGAGTTCTGTATGCAAAACCTCGTGCCTGTCTGCAGCATGCGGCCCTGGCTATGTCTTGGAGAAGCAAGGACTGACCAGAGAGAAAGTGTGTTTGGGGGCAAAGCTGGAAGCCAGCTCAATAATTAAGAAAGTACAAAGCAAAGATTTGAGCTTTTTGCTGCAGAATTTCCTGATATGATTCATGCTCATTTTGTGTGGCCAGGGTTAGCTCTAAATGATTAGGTCAACTATAAAATGTGGGCGCTTTCCTGAGTTCCTGCCGGAATAAATTAATAATACAATGACCTATAAATATTTAATAGCTGATTAGAGGTTTTTTTTCTTTTTTTTGGATGGGTATCAACATCCTTGCATAATTGCACTTGAAGGTTGCAAATGATCTCTGACCCTTGTATTTTTCAATATAACCTATGTAAATTACCTCTTCGGAAAAATCTGTTTGGAGTAACAGGCCTGGCAGGAAACATGAATAGCAAAACCATTCAAACCTGCAGGTCACTTCACTATGAGAAGTGAGGACAGCCTGCTGGACCAAGAAGAGGTGGCAGTGGGTGCCAATATTTCCTTAAATGACAGTTGCTTCTGTGAAAGATACAGCTCTCCTGTCATCCCAGCCCTCTTGCTTTATGCCCAGAAGACTGTTAGCCAAATTCCACACTGACCTCAGGTGACTCAGAACTTTTGTGGCCAGGCATGGTGGCTCATGCCTGTAATCCCAGCACTTTGGGAAGCCAAGGTAGATGGATTGTTTGAGGTCAGGAGTTCAAGACCAGCCTGGGCAACATGGTGAAACCCCGTCTCTATCAAAAATACAAAAATTAGCCAGTCTCATATCCCAGTCTCAAGAAAATAAATAAATAAAAATTTCAAGATAAAATTAAATTTTTTTTTTAAAAACTGACCTGCTTTGTAGCTATGCAGGAATCAAGACCACAAGAATTCCTTGCTAAGGCAGCAGATCTCCCTTAGTGGTTGGGTGAATGGGCCTGGAGCTTGCTGAAAATGCTGGTCAGTGGGGCTGGCCAAGGTATCTGTCATATTAGTGAGCAGCCCAGAGCCCTCAGGGCTGCGAACACTTAGCATCACACCTCAGTGGCCATCCAGTCCAACCTCTTCCTTTTTGTCTGATCTGCAATCTCATCTCCGCCATTGGGGTTCCTCTGGGCTCCCAGGATCAATACTGGAGAAGGAGGTAGTATTGGGAGGGTGAGAAGTTGGGCTTTGACGCCCAGTGAAGGCCTCAGCCAACTACGCAGGAAGCTCTGGAACCAGGATGGTCCCTCAGAGCTGTCCATATCAGCTCTGCCCCAAGAGCTGCTCACACGTGTTAGACACATTCACTTTGAGAGCTGGGTCTCGGGTACCACTTGTGGAAGGTAAACCAGGTGTAGTGAACTAAGGTCTTCTTCAGGAATTGGTTTTGGAAAAACCCACTCCCTGCTGCCAAGGCATCAGACAGCCCCGCTGGGGGATGCAGAGCTCTTACTGTAGTCATATGTCAGCCTCAGCACAAGATCTTGACCAGCCTCTCTCTAACATCCTTATATTCCAGGCTTTCCTAAGCAGAATAGTGTCCTCGAGGAATCCTCCAGTTATGATATCAGCAAGCCCAAAACTCCTTGCTGATTTCAGCAGTTTGTCAGTTGATGAAGAAATTGAGGCCAGGGGAAGGAAGTTGCATGGTCAAGGTCACTTCACCTCCTCGTTCTTTTTCATGCCTTAGAAGTATGACTCTTTAAAGGTGTATGTTTAAAAGCATTCCCAGATGTCTTAATAAAAATACAACGACACGCTTCCCTTTGTTTCCCAGAAAGGCTTTTCTCTAACTGGAATGTTTTAATAGAAACAGGCAGGAGCTCCAAGATCATAGAAAAACTAATCAGCAGGGATGGAGGTGATCCTTTGATCCCATCTGGTATCCTCAGTGCTAGAGTCCTAACTAGGGTGGGGCACCCTAGGTTTTATGTCAGGGCTGCAAGATATAGAAGGCGCAAAGATTCCAAATCTCATTGCTAATGCAACTGATTGAACAATGTGCAGTTCCTGCCTCAGCAGCACCCCCAACTCAATGCACACCTCACCAGACTCAATGCAGGCCTGCTCCTGGTCCCCTAGCTAGCCAGAAGAGAAGGACAGAGGGGTGACCAAGGTCTCCTGTGATCTGGGGGTGCAGTTCATGTTTGCTCATGAAGATTGAAAGTTCCTTTTATATCAAAGTGCCCTACCTTGGAGACCCCATGCTTGTCCTGTTTTACCTTCCAAGGTCTCTGATTCTCAGAGAGAAGATCTAAGGCTGACAGGCTCTTCCTTCGTGTCTTTTCCCATTCAGCTCCACTGCACCCCACCTCCTGCATCAAAAACAGCCGCTTCCCCTGACACCACAGCCCTGTGTAGCAGAAAGACATACAATTCTGATTTTTTCAGCTTCAATATCAACTGAGCCCTTTGGTAGGGGATGACCTACATAGTGTTTAATATGGAAATATAAGAATGTTTATCTTAAAAAAAATTTCTAACCCACTTTCAGGCCACCAGCACAGGTACTCTTGGGTAAAGCAGATTCCTGTTGACTCAGAACAGCACAAATGCTGATATCATTAGCATGTCTCCTAGGATTTGGAATAATTCAATCAAACCCCTCCTCCCTCTAGCAAGGGTTCTGAAACTCGCCTTAATTCGTTTGTCAGAACCCGATTGCTGCATCAAGGGCCTGAATTAAAACAACCAATTCTCAAACACAGGCTCATGGCATAGCACATCCTCTATAGGGTACGGTCTTTTGGGACAAGAGATTAACTTAAGCAATCTGATGATGAATTTATAAAAGGAGTGCTTGTCATTCTTTTTCTCTTCGGTTTTCAGTTGATCTAAGAAACTCCTTGAAAATTATTTTTGAAATAATTGTTGTCTCATATTAAAGGGTACCAGCTGTGATTTAAAAGCTCTGTCTGGGGAAAAGTAGACAAACTCCTTCCACATTAGTGTAGTTGAAAGAATCTGTGATTTGGAATTTAGAGACCTGGGCTT